TTTAATTCTTCCTAGTTCAGATTAAAATTTTGAAGTTAACTAGTTGACATTGAAATGATTGTGAAGTGAACTAGTTGACTTCAAAATTTTAATCTGAACTAGGAAGAATTAAAATTTCAATCTGTCCTAGTTCGATTTAAAACTGAACTAGATTTTAATTTGTCCTACGACATATATATATATGTGTCTTTCAAATAAAAAAAAAAGAAACGCAAAAGAAAAGAAAAAAAAAACCTAATGCCCGCTGCTAATTATGTCTTATTTCGTGATTACTGATCCCAAAAAAAAAAAGCCGAAATAGATGATTACGATCTTCAACAGTGGTCAGTTAATTGAATGAAGATGACATATCGGGTGTGGCAGTTTTGAACGAACATAAGAAGCATGAATGAATTTTTTTGTTTGATCACTCATTTGGAAATATAAGTAATGATGACCAAGGCCAACCGAACATATTACATACGCTTGAGCAGTAATGATCGTTTTCTCTCTTTTGCTCTCTGTTCTTTCTAATCACAAGCAGGTAGTGAAGTTGACCGACGTTAAACTTAAGACGGAAATAAACATAGTATGTGGCATTTTCCAGACGAATTCTTTCAAGCTGTTCGAATCTGATGTAACCAAATGTTAACATAAAATGATAATCAAAAAAGAAAAGAAAGAACATCTGCCGCTATACATCAGACTAGATTTATATAAGAATAAAAACAAAAGACGAATAAACTGAATTATAGCTTTTTCAAATTGATTTTAAACTGTTATTCGAAAGAATGACAGTTATGAGAATATAAATTTTGTCTCGTGTACAAACCTTTTTTTTTTTGTTTTTTTTATAAATAAATCAAGAAAAACCCTTCAGGCAATTTGAATTATAAAGTAGTTAATCGGAAAAAAAAGAACTGTATTACTGAATTAATCTTTTAACTCCTTGTCGGGGAATTTTATTTTACGTAAGCTTCTAAAAAAAAAAAAAGATTTCATTATAGAATATGAATTGTTTAACAATTTTTTTTTTCTATATTAAAATTTAAATTACATAAGGATGTCTATAATTCAAACAAGCCAAGATATTGACGATGATGATGATGATTACAGTCATCGAGACAACTAAAAATGGTAATGTATACTGTTGTTTTCATACAATTGGCGGTTGTACATTGACATTTGATAGGCATAATATTACGAAAGTATTTTATCATGCCGTATAAAGTTAATAACAATCTGAAAAATGACTACCCGATTATTTACTATACAGTAAAACACGTTCGTAATACTGCGAAAAAAAAATCGTCTAAAACGGACGTGCTCATTTGTCCTGGGAATTTATTGTTGATAAAGACTGTTGGACAATTGAAATTTTCAATCTACTATTCTGATTTAATTAGATGATTAATTTCTTGTCGTAATTATTAGCATAATAAATATAACGAAATAAAAATCTATGTCTATAGATTCGTATTATAACTACTATCGGAAAAAACTATAATTCATAATAGATTATCATTTTTATTTGATATACTTCGATTATTTGTAAGACAGTAGAAAAAAGTTTAATACCTATGTATTTTTCTATCATGTTAAGCAATTAGTTCAAATTTAGATAGTGAGTTTAAATAGCTAATGACATTTTCTATCTAATGCATTCTATAGCAAGATTTCATAGATGAATAAATTTTCGACCCGGTAGGCTCTAGGCGTCTGAGAAATATGTAGGGTGCGCTAGTCATCGAATATAAAAAACCGGAAAAAGTATCTCGTATTTTTCAAGGCGATTATCCTATTCCGAATAGAATATTTCATTGTGAGTATCAAAGTAAGGTTCGATCGGACACGGTAGTTTTCGTGTTCCAGATGGCTTTGTCAGAGCCGTTTTAATAGAGCATAAAATTGTGAGTAAAATGAGGAATTACTTCATTTTCTGTAACATTACCTTAAAAGTTAAGAGTATTACAGAGAATGAAATTAATCAAAAAATCGATTAAAAAAAGTTTTTTTTTTCTGTTTTTGTGATACTTATAAGTTTTTAAGAGAAGGTCACAGAAAATCCAATGACCACTCATTTTATTCAGAATTTTATGCTTTTTGAAATATCTCCGACAATGTATTCTGACATCTGAAACCTACTGTGTCTGATTTTTCCTGGGCTTGAACTAATTACTGAACATCATAGAAAAATGCATTGTCAAACTTTTTTCCATCGTCTTACTCAGATATAGAAATAATCGAGAGGTTTTTTGTCTTCTCGTTGACTTGATGCTTATGTTCTTTCATTACGTACTTTTGGGAAATATCTTACAATCATAACCATAAACCTACATAGTCTAACTTTCTACAGCATATTAAAATTTTTCGATAAAAATAGTTAAAAAGCGGGACAATTGTATAGTAACATTTTATTTTGTTTTTTTTTTGTCTTTGTATTGAGAAAAATTATGTCGAAAGAATTATTTAATTATCTTTTTGATTCAAATGATAATGTTCGTTTGGAGTCAGAATCAATATCTTTTCAACATGATTTACCTCAAATACCTGCTCCTATGTGTTCTCATTTATGTATACGACATCGTCTACTTCGTCTTAATTATCATATTGCTTCGCCTCGTCAATCACAAATTGCTTTATGTAAAAAGCATTTACATAGACATCCACAAATAAATGAAGAAGAAAAATTCTTTTCGATTTCAAATAAAAATCTAGAAATGATTTCTAATATTAATCATTTAATTGAAAAAATGACTCAATAATAATAATTATTATTGAATCAAAATAAACAAACAAATCTTCTTCTTAATACTCAATTAATTTCTTCCATTGATTTAATAATTTATTTCTTAATAAAGAAATAATATAGCATTTAATTTTTTTATCATTTATACTTACAAAGATCTTCATCATCAATATTAGATAATTGTGGTTCTAATCGAGATAAAGAACCGTGAACCGTAACAATGAGTATAAACCATAGTAGTCCGTACATATTTTTCTGACGAAATGACAGTAAGTAGAAATGAAGAATATCAAGAAGGAAAAAAGAGAAAAAGAAATTGATCAATGTCTCTCTTTATTGAACAATATGATAAATGATGGACGGATGGGCTATTCAATTACAGATTGCGCGAGTATATAGTCGATCGACTCCATCAATAATCATTGTCAGCTTAAGCAGGTAGTACTCAATAGATAATAAAATTACTCGTATATGAGTATACTTATAGTTCGCTAGTCATATCGGATGTAAAAAGAATTGTTCATTTGAAGAAAAAGAACATCAATCGAATGTTAATAGTCAAGTATTTCCGTCTGGATGATAATTAGACCGTATGGTTCCTATATTCAATCGAGTTGAACTCGAAATTTACCTAAATGTCAAACGGTTATTGAATGATGTCATTTTGAGCTTAAGGAAAAAAGTGCATATGATTGATTATTCTCATTGTTATTTTGCACTTGAACGTCTTATGTACACAAATAGATGATTAAGTTCAGTGATATTGAAGACAATATACGTAAGAAAAAAAAAACCAAGAAAGGGAATCTTAACATCTGTTTATCGATATAGTAAGAGAAACATCATAAGTCTCATTCTTGATCGAATAGTTCATTTAATCATAGTGAAAAGAACATAATTCAAGATGATGATTACATTGTATTTGCTGACAGATTCTTACGATTAATTTAGACATTTTGATTGATTGACGATTCAGATATATATATATATACCAACTTTTGATGGTTTTTATGAATTCATTTTATTGAACATATTTCGTTTGATTTGAGATCGAGAACAAAAAAAAAAGGTCTTGCTTTTAAAATATATATATTTTTTAATTGATATTTATAATTTTCTCTACAAAACTTATTTGATCTAAAAGCAAAAAAAGGAGAAATAATGTCAATTTGTGTCAAGTTTCCGTTTTGCCCCATAATGGAATATCTTGACAACGATCAATAATCAATGATCGTTCCGTTTCTTCAGTAATCTTATTTAATAAATCATTGTGAACTTTATTATTGTCATTGATAGTTGATGATAGTGTTATTTCATCAAGCATGATTTTAATAAGTTCACAAAAACGTTTTGCAGATTCAAAATATCCATATCGATATAACATATATTTCCACATTACTTCAACATATGCATTTTGACTTCCGAATAAACGAAATGTACCCATTAGTAGACTATCTCGTTTCATATTTTGATCTTCATTTACAGCAAAACAATTTGACGAAAAACTTAAAACCATAAGTATAAGTTTAACAAGTGTTAAATCAGGATCAAGTCGTACAGTAATGGATCTAACATATTCAACACTATCAGATCCATAAAGTGGTGTCATAATATTTTTACTTTCTACACTATCAAACATTTTACATTGGTGACATATAACCATAGAATAAAATGCCCAAATACCATGCATATTACGTTGAACAAGAGAACATTGTTCATCAGTTGTCATTATTCGAAAATCAGCTGCTGCACTAATAGATGATTGTATTGATTGATAAATTACATTGACAATATTTCGTGATTGTTGTAAAATATATTGATAATCTGCTGAAGTTCTAGTAAGAAATTGAATCATATGTTGTACTTCAAATAAAGGACTAAATGTATCAAATGCATGAACAATATTTGAAAGTAACATCCAGTCTGGTTGCCTGAGACAAGATATATCATCAGAAACAAGACTCAATGTAGATAGTGTTGTGTTAGACTAAAATTAAAACAAAAATAAAGGACCGAGATGCATAAGAATGAATTTTGATCCGTTTAGATTTTCAGAGATCAATCTAATTATAGAGCTCATAATGCAAATGAATTACAAAACAATTCGAAATTTATATATATTATACAAGAGACTTATTCAAAGAATCTGTCAGGGTTTACTACCGTCAACAAGAGTGTAGGTATATCTACACTTACACTCACACACTGTTGTTAATAGTAGTAGACTTTGTTGGTCCCGGTAGACCCTACCAAAACTATTGATACAAATTAATAGACACTGAATTATTGTGTAATTCATTTGCGTCATTCAGTATCTAATTGAGTGACCTATAGCATGGAAAATCATGAGTTCTTGATTATTTTGATTCTATCATAACTGTGAACAGAATCTATCTTCACGGCAAAGTAAATGAGCAGCTAATATATTGATAATAGCTAGCAGTGTAATCTTTCGTTTGACAGGAAACAAATGAAGATGAAAAAGCTGTTAGCGCAATCCCTTGCGGGATTAAAAATGTGAAACACGATGGCTCTATTATTACTAATTAAATGGAAATCCTTTTCTTCCATTACGTTGCGATACATTTGTAGCTAACCGTTAATCTGATGCTTTACAACTACAGTTTCTCTGTCACGGTCTGTGATGGGTACCTGAATTCTCTGTCACGGTCTGCGATGGGTACCTGGCTTTTCTGTCNAAGTAATGAACAACGTTATGAATCCATATCAATACATTATATATTTCTCGTCATCATAGTTTGGATCATTGCATTTTACTGTTGTTGTCCCTCTTCTTTTCATTTGTTTTTCGTTCTTTTCTCGTTTAATTTAATTTACTTATTCGCCCTTCACTCAACAACTTCGGCTTACACGTGATTCGTCCCCACCCTACATTCGTCTTCTGATTAAATTAGCGCTTAATTTTTATCATTGCATCCAAAAATAAACATCAACATTTTGTATTTTACAAGCATAAGAAAGAACAACAACATTATGAAATTATAAGAGAAAACCTTTAGTTAATGTCAAAAGGCAAGCCATTGTTTGGTATAACTAGTTTTAATAGCTTCCTATTTAATGACTAAAGCCATCTTACTAATTTGCTCATTAGAGGAATGTTTGAGCAAATCTTCAAGAAGTAAGTCAATATCATTACTTCATTTCCTTTTGCTTGATGGGTATGGATTGGCTTGTTAATACAGAAAGACACAAGCACGATAATTCAACTATGAAATAAAGTGGGTACGAATCAGGGGTAGCCCTGCATTTTTGTTTCCGAAGATTAAAAAAGACGAATTAACAATCAAATTAATTAGTTTATGATCGAAGTAATTAGTCATTGAAGTACGAGTATCATTAGAAAAAATTCATATTTATTTTCATTTGTAAAAATTTAATCTTGAAATAAGGCTGGATTCTCTCTAAAGCAGGGGTGCAGAATCTGCCGGTGAAATAAAAATTTTCCTCCAACGGCAAAACTTTTCGAAAAATTTCCCGCTATAAACTTCAATTAAAGAAACGAATGCTATTATTCAATATGATTTTTTTCACATAATCTAGTTACTTGCAATTTTTGTAAATGATTTAAACTAACAAAATGATATTTCGTCAAGTTGTTTTCTGAAAACTGCAATTTAAATCTTTCTTCATGAAAACTTTTTTCTAATGCTTTGTTTTGCTTTATCTTTTCGCTCGGACTATTCACAATAAAAACGTGATACTTGTTGTTTGGTTGAGTACTTATCTACTATTTAAATTACTTTTTTAAAAGATGAAGTCGATTCAAATCGTACCCAAACTAATTTTGGAAAGATAGTCGGATACAGTGAAGTCTTCAATTAATACTAAATGATTGAACTATAAACAATTTTACAAAAATATAATGCAGTTGACGAATTTGAAAAGAGCCTTGACTGATTGCTTTATGTGCGTAATTTAATAATCGTATAACACAGGCCTGTTTCTTTTCATAATATTTGCAATAACCTTGAGTTTATAAAGTTAGGTGATTTCTGTGCGGAATAATGCTTTTATCCTTTTCTCTTTTAAATTTCTCCATTTTTCTGTATTACAATAAACAATCACCTGTAGTGCTTTTAGATTAATATTAACACTAAAAAGGCTGCTGATGGTTAAGTGCTGAGACTAAAAGGTTTATTTTAATCCACAACTGTATTACTTGGTATTCACTTACATTGATATGAACTATAAATCACACTTTTATTGTTCCGGAATCAAGTTTCACTCTATGATGTGGTATATTCCTGATAGGGAGGACTAAGATAACAAAAATTGAGCCACTTTTTCAGAAACGAAGTCGAATTTAGCGGAACGTGAATTGATTTTTTAAACGTGAATCCGAACTGAATTGAATTCGAACCAACGAAAATGATTCGATTCGGTTAATAATGACTAGGGAAGGGAAGTTACCGTTACGTTATCGGTTAACTGATAACTAGAGAAGTTACCTAGAAAAAGAAACGAGTAACTTTCCACCCCTAATAATGACCATAAATTAGTTATCATAGTGGTTGTGTACTCATACACACACGCAATAGCAACTGTATGTAGCTATAGAGAAAAACGATAAGTGATGAAATTCCGTTAGGAAAAGTATAGAAAGAAAGAAAAAAAGAAAACAAGTAATGTGTATTGTATTATTAATAGGCACAAAGAGACAGGGTGAAGGAGATACTAATATGCATAATGAACGTAAACAAAGGTTGACGATACTGATACTACAATAAAGACGCGTATGGCATTTTCAGAAGTTTAATGAGAAGAAAAGGAAATAGACCAATAGAAGATCTAATCAATGTTTCCATAAATAAACCGAGATTAATTTCGAAAATTTCCCCAGATGCTAATGAATTCTCAAAAATTTCCCCCGACGGCCGTCGGCGCACACGGGTAGATTCTGCACCGCTGCGATGACCTCTCATTTTCTTGAGAATTTTTAGCTTTTTAAAATGGCTCCGTTAAAGTCTTCTGAGACTTGAAGACTACCATTTTCGACATTTTAAAAACTTTACCATCATAGTTCATCTATGAAATCTTAACATAGAATACATTGGATAGAAAATTTTATTATTTATGAAAATTATTATCAGAATTTGAATTAATTGCTTCACATCAAAGGGTATCCCATAAATTATGAGTCACAACGAACATTAATTTACATGTAAACAAAGAGTGATCCATACTCAACTATATCTATATGAGTTTTGAGGATACTTAGGACAATGTTTTAAATGACATCAACTCGTTTAATAATAGTGATATAAATAGAAGAAACGTGATAATTAAAATCTTGAAATCGACTAACATTTTTTTAAACAAGTTTTAATAAATTATGAATTCATCGTATGTAATGTAGGACAGTGATACAAAACGACACGTAATATCTAGGATGTCAGTATGACTTTTCTTTCCGTTCACACCCTAATTATCACATTTCTTCTAATTATATCACTATTATTAATATATATAGTGCGGATCAAAAGTCTAGTCTCACTTTTTTGTTTCGAGTCGTGTATTAAAACTGCACAAGATTAATTTAATCTAATTATATGTTTGGATAGCAGGGGTCGAGTACTATATATATGCACCTGTTCGATTCGAAAAACTCTTGAATATAAAATACAATAAGAAAATCAAACTTCAGTACTAAGAAAAAAATGTTCATAAAAAACTACAAAATGATAATAAAAATGTTTGGAAGACTTTTTGTTGTGCAATATGAATTTCTATATACATCTTCTCGTAGAGCCTTTGACGACGCATCTTTTGAAATAAAAACCAAGATTTTATCATTTGTCTATACAGAGATATTCGCAAAACAAACTATGTTGCAAACATTTTGGGGCACCTGGCATTTCACAGTATTTAATATTTTGATTATAATATCGTCATTTCTCCATGAAATTCAAAATGTTTTTTACCAAAATGATCAGCGAAGAAAGTTCTACAAAGTCTGATAAAATGGAAATTTTTTTGCACCCTTAGTGTTTTTCGTGGTTAACTGACCATCGGAGTATCTCCTATAACAATAATATCATATTTTAGTTTTTTATATCATCTTTTTCTTAGTACTCAAGTTTGATTCTCTTATTATATTTCATATTCAAGAGTTTTTCGAATTGAACAGGTATATATATATAGTACTCGATCTCTGCTATCCAAACATATAATTGGATTAAATTAATCTTGTATAGTTTTAATACACGACTCAAAACAAAAAAGTGGAGTCAGACTTTTGATCCGCACTGTACATCTTCTTTAAGAGATTCCTCTGTTTTTATTGATTTATCAAATCATTGTTTAATATAAAGCTCGATTTCTAATGCAGTATGATGATTAACATCATCTTATAAATTAGAATATAAATCAGTCATATTTTTAATAGATGGATTTGTTGCGCGGTCAAGATGTAGGTGATTTAATGCGATCATCAACATCGAATAATAATATTTCTTGTTTAATATATTCAATACATTCTTCTCTTTGTCTAAAAGATAGGTGTTTTATCATTTGTGTTTTTGGTTTTTTAAAATATTCTATAAGATGAATAGAATGAAACTAAAATTTTTATTGTCTAGTTATACTCAACATGTATTTGCTAAGTTCAAAAAAACATCAGTTATATAAATGTTTTCAAAACGAACCGAATTGAACTGATTTACTTTTTATAAAGTGCAAATCGAATCAGTCCTATCTTTGACTGATATACCATATATAATTTCTCTCTTTTGATGTTTTCTTTTCTATCTGTTCTTCTTCAGTTTCGTTTAGTGTCAATATATGGGTTCGTCTTCTTCTCTCCGTTAATGTAAGGACATTCTTTTTTGTTATAGATCTTCTAACAAAGAAGAAGATCATTCTCGATTTTCCCTTTTCTTCTTATTGTAAAAATTCTTTGTTTTTACTGAATAAACCATTCGTTTGTTTCGTTTTCATCTGGTTCAAAAAGTACATTGTTCTCTATAACTAGAGCATATCAGAATGCCGGACATCACCAAGTTCCTTTTGTTAAAGTCTTACTTTTTAAGAGGAGAAAAGCGATGAAAAGTTCAATATTTTCCAAAACTCTCAAAAATAGCGTTCTAATTATAGAAGTACTATTTTATACAATAGTAACAAAGCTTAATTCAAAAAACGACTTCTGTCATCCTCTGCATTTTGACATGCTCTTTCAAATACAAGAAATCATTGACTATAATGAAACTTCTTCAAGAATTTTGAGATACTCGTCAAAAAAGCGAAAAAAAGGTTTTTGAAAATCACATACTTTTTTAAGAGATAATGATAGAAGTCATAAAAAATTTCATCAAAAACAAAGGTGCCGAATAAAAAAAATCTTGATGCTTCTGAAAGATCAAATCACGAGTCATTTTTCATTGCATCTATCTTGATTTCGACCATTCTGATGAAAACTGATTTTTTTTCGAGAAAGAGAAGGGTAATGAAAGATATAATTAAATATGGTTTATTACGTATTGCTACATTCTTATCAATTGAAGATCTATTTATCTGCCCTGATAATGATTGTTGATAAAACAACTGAAAAAGATGACAAATAATTCTACTTGATATTTGATTTTAAATAAACTATACATATAATTGCATATTCTATTATTATTCATATTCAGCAACATCGACAAACTGAAAAATCTTTTCTCTATTCTATTGTAATTTGATAATTTTCAGAATATAAACATCGAAGAGGATTCTAAAATAATACATACAAAGATCAATAGAATACTAGATCAAATAAGTTACAAACTCTAATGCTAGAAACATGATGAGTAGACTAGTGCATTAAAACAAACCTAACAGGCTTTGTCACCATAGGCGCTGCATAATAGTTAAATATATATTGTTTTCTTGTCTTTATGCTTCGGCTCGACTAATTTGCAGATGAAGAAAAATGACATGAATGAAGTTTTATTAAAAGTGATTTCAAAAAATAATATCGAATACTTTTCAAAGGAGTGTATTCGATGAAATGAAATAAAAATCTTTCACGTGATAAATATATGTAGTTAAAAATACACTTTAGCATGTCACGTATGAGTGATTTATAAAATATGAACGTAACATTTTTTTTTATTCTTGTTCACTTCTACCTTTTAACAATAAACTATATAGCATACATAAAGAAAAGAAAAATTTTTTTTTTATTGTTTATTGTGTTGTTGCTGTTGTCAAATGAACAGAATGTAGATGAACATGATGGAACATAAACTAGAATTTGAATAAAAAATTTCCAGTTTAACCATCTATCAATTTATAGAATGGAACTCTTGTTTGAATACAAACAATGTTCTATATAAAAGTAAGGTAAGTATGAATGATGTGAATAAAAAAAAGAATGTTAGTACAATTCCTATGGGATTGAAATATGAAACACAATGGAGTTCATAGTATTGCATAAGATAGGATATGTTTTGGCCTATGAATTCTTACTTACTGTTAATGCAAATTATTAATTGCAATATATAATAGTGAGCGTAAAAACAATAAGTAAAGAATAACTGTCTTACTATGTTCAATTTGACTTCAATCTCACGGTTATAACTCTGTAGGAAGACAGATTTGTGTCCTTATATTTCAACACTCCTTTTAAATTACGTTTTGCAAAAATCATTAATTTTAACAACATCAAAAATTATTTATTAGAACTAGAGAAGCCTTTTTTTAATTTACATGAATATTCAGTTCATCTTGTGTTTTATTTCAAACCAGAAAAGTATATTGAATAGCCGAGTTCAAAAGAACAAAATTTTCATATATTTATAGAACGTAATAATTATAATTTTATAAGTAAGATGATATATGATTATGTAGTTAAACAGTAATCAATGAAATAGAGACAAACAACATCTAATAATTCTTCGACAATTATTGACTTTTCTTTTCAGATCTTTCTTGTCCTTGATTACATAATTTAAGATTTCCTTTTCATTTGCTAAAATGTTTAATATGCATTAATGATTTGTCAATTGAACTAGGGATGGACATGGATGTGAGTCTTCTAGTCATCTACACTCACACCCTAATATCAATGATTGTATTTTATTTGAGGTGTCTTACATACAGTTATGAGTATAAGAAATATTTATAACAAGTGATTTGATAATCGAATGAGAAGAACTGCTATTCTCTGAATCCGACTGCGTATTGATCATTTCATCAATCATAACGGCCACTGATTATGTATATTAGTTAAGATCTTCGTTTAATGAAATATTATTCAGAAATTGTGATATGTATTTCATCTAAAAAAAACATGGAAAGTCACACCATTCTAACGAGAGAACATTTTCAACTGATCAATCACTTTTGAATTCGGACTCTGTACATAAGGTAGAATCCAGTAAGATATGAAAAGATCCCAAAGGGTAATTCTCGTTAGATCTTTTATCTAGAGTTAGAGGCATTTTACTAGAGCCCAGTGATTCCGAAAAAAAAACGCAACTGAACCGGACCTAAGCAATAAGAGAGTTTAAAGTCGAATGAATCAATTTCGGTTTGCAGTAGCGGTAAACAATGCGTAATCTTTACAGTTACACGATAAAAGAAGTTGAAAATTACTAAAAGTATGATAAAGATCCATGGAAAAACTTAACATTGTTAAAAAAATCACTCTTTTGAGCAAAGGTATGAATATATAGTCTAATGTGTGTGTACTTTCATAATCATTATGGTTTTAAGTCTTATCTGTATTAAAAACAAACTTTTTCCCATAAAGGACGATTTTCTATCTAAAGAACTATTGTTGCCGAAAAACAGTACAGCAGTTGTTCGGCAATGTTTCTTCAATGCTATTATATTTCAGTAAGAGATTAGTTAATTTTGTTGTTGTTGTTTGAAACTTCATTTTTCCAAAAGACTAGCTTCACCGAATAGAAAAAAATGTATTCTATTGAATATAATTTTATCAAAAAAAAAAAAAGAAGAAGTTAATAGACTCAACTGCTATTAAACAAAGAAAAGATAATAAAGCTTATCAATCGTGCAGGTAGAAAGCCATTCGAAATGCAATAGATACCAAAAACAGTATTATAAATATACAGAAAATTGTTCTATCTTCAACTAAGAATGAAATTTGAAGTTAAAATTTCTTTTCTTGTGTAATCCGGTCCTTATAATTATTACAAAAAGATTATACACGCGAAAAACAGTACTGATCTTCCTGTACTACTATATATTAACAATCTCGAAAAATGAAACATAACTTATAAATCTCTAGAAAAAAAATGATTACATCATTTACACAAGTTCCACAGATATTTTTTAAGGACCAAAATCGGAATCTTTGATTTTTTCGTTTTTACTAACTGAAATCAAAACGATAGTTTCGGGTTCTTTTGAAGCCGTCAGTCTCTAGTGTTGATTAAAAGATATTCATCATTCATATTTTCTATATTTTTCTTTCGACATTAAATTGAAGGAATCGAAACTATTCGAAAAAAAAAACATGATGTTGTCTCATCAAATTTACACTATTCATTATTTTTCTCTGAATTTGTTTTTAATCCAATCATTTATTTTTCATAAATTTATTTAACTTTGCAAATATACTCTTTTGATTATTTTAAAATACAATTTTCGATATCTGACAAATAATTAAAGAGAAAGAAAAAAAGGAAAATGAATTTACATAGCACAATAATAGATCACTTTTTTCCCCATAATGGAATAATTGATTTGTCATTAATGGTTGGAGCATGTTCAATCTGTTCAGCATTATCATCAATAAATGTTTGAAATATTTGATTATTTTCATAGATATCAATTGATAATTTAAGTGCATCAAGAAGTCGTTTAATCAATGTAGAAAAATGTCTGACTGATTCATTATAACTAAATCGATGAACTAAATATTTCCATATAAGTTCAACATAAACATTTTGACTTCCAAATAAACGAAATGTACCTAATAATAAACTATCTTTATCTATATTTCTTCGATTTTGTTTTGTAAAACAATTTGATGAAAATGCAAGTGCAACAATTATTAGTTTAATAAGTGTTGGATCACAATCAAATTGTGCACTAATAGATTTTACTTGTCGAACAACTTCATTACCATATAAAGGTAGAATAGCCCTTTCATTTTCAGGCTTATCAAATATACCTGATTCACGCATAAAATACATTCCACCAATAGATAAAAGACCAAGCATATTACGTTGAAATAGAGACCATTGTTCAGATGTAGTCAAAATTTTAAAATCAGGTGTTGAACTAATAAATGATCGTAAAGAATTTGAGAATGAAGAGATCATTTGAAGTGATTGGGATAAATCAAATTGAAGACTAGATGCTGATGTATTGATTATTTCAATTGTACGTCGAGTTTCAGTTATAGGACTAAATGTATCAAATGCATGTATAACATTGGAAATTAGATTCCATTCTGAACTATTTAAAAGTGAGCCTGGCCCACCAGATGGTTGATCAAATGCCGATGCTTGTGGTACAGTCTAGATTAAAAAAAAAATGAGTTAAGATTATATATATACAACTATTTTATCAAATTCTTTTTTTCGAAGCATAAGAACACTATGGAGACCTACGGTTTTCACCATTCATAAGAGAAGATTCGAGAGGATCGAAATTTGATTGGTCAGCAATTGACCAATCAGGTAAACTCCTGATGAAGCTTTTCGAAGATGATATTTTAGAGCTATTTTCCTTTCGATAGAAAAAAGTCTTCTCCTTCGATCTACACAAAGTCGAGGTTTTTAACTTGTTCGATTCGAGAGTTGTAAAACTTTTCGTGAGATTCTTCATTTCATCCAATTGATCTATGAGCACCCAGAAAAGCAATTAGGCAAGAGTAATTAAGCATGTTTAGTGAATGATAATATTTATTTTTAGTTTAAAACTGAGCTAACTCTTTTGTTTGAATGTTTGCAACTTGTGCACTTCTTCACTACACGGAGGCTCATTTTGAAGTTTTAGAATTCTTGCCTAGCTGTTTTTCTGTATGATCATAGATCGATTTGCTGAAATCGGTGGTCTCAGAAAAAGTTCTATAATTCTCGATCTTGTGTAAATCGAAAATCTTCATCAAGAACTCACGTGATTAATTAATTGCTCATTAACCAAATTTCGATAGCTTCAAGATTTCTCTCTTGAATGGTGAAAATTATAGATTTCTATAATGTTCCTATCAAAAGTTATTCAACGAGCAGTCAAGCACATTATATTTTTTAATAGGTAGTACATAGTACTCTTTATAAAATCCAATATCATCAGTTTTGTGATTATTTTATCCGATACTTTCATTTGAGAATAAAAAGAATTGTTGAAATAATTTCGTTATGTTTTTAAGATTTGCGCATAAATCAGTAGATATCCTATCATACTGCAAGTTTTGAGGATTTAGTGCCCTGTTGTTTGTAATCAAGATTTTTCTAATTCAAAGTTTAAGTTAGAAGACAGGAAAATTTTGTTGCAAGTTACTCTAATAGAGTACTCGTATTTAATGTTGATTATTTTAATAAATGAGGACGGTCGATAACTGTTGAGGGTTGCTCTCTCAAGAAATTTAATATATTCTATATCAAACAATTACACAAGGTGTTCGGAAGTGAGTCCTAATAGAATTAGTTATATAGGCCATACTTGTGCTACCCTCCTTACCTCATGGACGTCCAGACTATTTTTGTATGGTTCGACAGCGCATCTTTTGAGCACATGAAAGTCGTATAAAAACATTCCGCAAAAAAAAAACACCGGTCGTACAAAAGAATCTCAAGGAAACTATTCTCGAGACATGATTTTATGATTTGTTTGCCTAATAGTAGATTTCGATTATAAAAATACAATTAGGTTTTGTTTTTCGTCGAAAAATTAACCTGTAGTCCCACTTAAGGTTAGGTCAGAAAATGAAATTCATGAAAATTCTGTGCTTATTGTTTATTCGTCTACTATTTCGTGTACAACTATGAAATTTTTTTTCTCTGGGCATTCTATTTTTTGTTTGCATGGTTGCTATTCGCTAATAATTTTTCATTTTCATATTTTGTTTTGCTTAATTTAACATTGTTATTACGCTCACTATTTCTTCGAAATTATACGTGAGTTTCACAAAATCAGGAAATCATGTCTTGGCATTAAACTCCTTGGGATATCTTTGTGTGACCAGCGTTTTTCCGTCGATTTTTTACAGCATTTTGAAGCGCTTAAAAATGACTATCAAACTATATGAAAAACAGCTTGATTAGAGAGAAGATCAGTTAACGTTGACACAGGTTTCGGTTGGCAATAACTGGCAACAGAAGCTTATGAAAGACAATCTGATTTCGTATAGGAGAGTGTTTGTTTTTTATCATATTTTTACACCATTTTGAAGTCGTTGCAAAAGTTCTATCGAGCTATATGAATACTAGTCTAATAGATCTTTGGGTTGATCGATAAAAAGAGAGCTGGTCATCCTCAACAGTCAAATATAGTGTATATACGACAACTATTGGCTATTTGAATCGATCGAGATTCAGAACAAGCAACTGTTATAGGTCTAATACTACTAGAAGTCCGTTTGAGACATTCTGAGTGAAAATTAGACATGACAGAAATCATATTTCGGTAGGGAATCGATTTTATCAATTATTGAGTTGCCTCTTTTGCTCATACCAAGATGCCGAATTTTAAAGAGAATATCAATTCTCAAAATTTTGTATAAAGAAAGTTCTGAGAGATATACATCTCTTAGATGTATAAAAATAAGCGAACATGTAAGAAAAATAATTATTATTCTACAAGGACTGTCATATCAATGTATCATGTTATTCAAAGACGTTTATTTAAAAGGAAAGCTTTCAAACTGATTAATTGTTATTGAATCGAAACTATATGCATCATGTAGACTATACTGAACTATAAATATCCTGAGAAGAGTTCCGACTCTGATCTTATTGTTGCTAGTATTACAGCATTTTTTAAACTTAATGTCATGGCTCTCCTCAAGAAAACTGATTTTCAAGTTTTGACTTGAAATTTCTCATTGAGACGTTCGTTAAAGAGAATAGATTATTATGAAAATGTTAGATCTTGTGATTTCTTCCTATCTTGAAATAAAAACATGGAATCTGTCGGTTTATATAGACAATATAAAAGTCATGCTGTTATCTTGGCCGTATCTTAGAATAAGAAAAACGAAAAGATCTTAAACTCTCACAATAAACTATTCTTATTAAAACTTGCATCTATACATAGTGTCAAGCTGAACTAGGAAAATGAATTTTCCTGAGAGGGGGAACATGATATTGAGTTAAACAATACAGTATGTTCATAGTAATAAGCTAAGGATCCAAATTCTTCTTAGATTTTTTCATAACTCATACGGATTTACTTGATGCACATGGTCACTACTTAAAGCAATTAATCATTTGCACTACTTTTCTTGTCAGCTAATGAAGTTCTCTCAACCATGGTATTCTACACTAGATTTTTTTTAAAATAATTTTAACATATAAAATTTTGTCTTCTTTTAATTTCTTATAGACTATGCTATTCATTTACAAGTACTGCTCTTACATTTAATTATTTTTTAGATATATAAATAGCAATTTTTAACTTGTACGCACCATTACTGATTGATATTCAATAAGTTCTTGGCTCTGTGATATAGAAGATTTACGCTTTCTTCCACTTAAATCTTCTTTCCTAATTAAATCAGGACTCATGCCAACGGCAAGACATTTGGCAAGACGACATGCTGTACAATTTTTTCTTGTTGGCTTAATAATCTCACAATGACCATCAAATCGACATGAAGAAACTTCCTAAATCAAAATATATGTTATGTTTAGTTCTTATTAATTTATTTTTAAAACTTACTTTAGTATGAAAACCATTGCGACGAAAAAATGTACGACATGATAAACAAGTTAATGCTCCATAATTAATGATGGATGCACTATCTCCACATACTTGACATGTACTACTTGTTTTTGTTGTTGGTTCCGTTTTATCACATGAAGATGGAGGAATCGACATTACAGTATTCCAATTCTAAATAAAATAATTATATTTTTAAAAAATACAATATTTGATAATTTGAAGAATAGGTTTTTTTTTTTTAATATTTTTTATAAAAGTGCTTAATACGTCGATTACTTCATAGCATAAGTGTTTCCTTTTTTGTCTATTAATAAAAACTATGAGATCACGATAAATTAAAGATAAAACTCATAGCAATTGGTTATTTTTTTATTTAAATTAGTTATTTATAAGATAACAAATTTTTTATTTTTGAAATGATAATTTTAACAATATAAAATGTTTGAAGTACCCAAATAAAGGTCATGCATCGTGCTTCATGCGTTTATCAATGTTACAAGGAAAGTAGAATAAAAAAAAACAAATATTCGACTTACATATAATAATTGTATATTTGATATATTATAAATATCGTATTTTTGGGTCAATAATTTTTAGATAATGATCAATTTATAAATATGAAAGTTGTCACCATCATTTTGCATTGGAGATGGTTTATTTATGGCTTGATGTCGGGAGAAAAAAAAACTATTTTTTTCTGTCCTCTCCTCGCTTTTTCTTTATTTACCTCCCTGCCGTAGAAACTTGTGTGACTATGACGTTTTTTTAACCTTTAGACGAAATAATATGGACTGCATGTAAAAGATAGATGACGGGAATGATTGTCAATCCTTAATTTATTGTAGATTAAAATTTGTAGGACATGATTTGAAATCATATTTTGAATAATTAATAAAAAAAATGTTGCAATTCTAAATATTTGTGATTGATTCAATGAATCATTTAGTTTTATTCTTATTCTTATCAGATATTGTGCTCAGCTTTATAATATTGTATGACTCATAATGATTTCTAGAAATCTTTTAGCATAAGTCCTTTTTATTTTGATTGAATACTTCAAAATAGATATATATAATAAAAATGTATATTTCACTTATTTGAAAATATTCTTATCGACGATAGTGTTTTCTTTTTCAATGAATAATTATTCGAAACAATTTTTCTAATAAAAATTTTATATCGGAATAGTTTGTTTTAGAATTGAACACATGTCGAAAGATGATCATGCGCTGTAAATGAAAAAATTTATTGATCTTATAAAATTCAAAAATTATTTGTTCTTGTCCTACAGTAGTTACAAGAAGTTTTGCTAGCAGATGAAAGGTATGAATGGAAACATTAGTCCTTTTTCCTAATATTTCGACTATAAATAGAATCCGAAAAACAAAATCTTGATCGCAAGCAGCAATCTGAGATTGATAGACCTGAATACAAAGAATTTACAATGAAAACATTGATTTTTTTCCTTGAGATCCATAAAAGACTTTTGTTTTTGAATACTTTTCTGGTTTTTCGCTATTTTAATTCGTTACATTTCATGTTCTTATAAACAAATAAAGATTCGCATGTTTATATTGTGTTACAAAAAATGTACTTCAATTTACTGTAATCTTGAGGCATGGATAAGCTTGCATTGTCTGCGACGGTCTCCAAATGGATCTTTTCTCTATCAATGAATGCGAACACGGATACATCATTTATTTTTCGACAATTCTCATCACCTGCCATGCAGGAATTATTCGAAGAATACTTCATTAATCAGGCAAAATAAAATAGTTTGACATGAAATTTTTTTGTTTGATGATGGAAGCGCCTCTGAGCTATCGTGTAAGAAAGTCTAATTTCATGAGATTTGTTTTCTATGTTTATATGTCCTCGTCTGAAGAGAAAATCTATGTTGACTTTCGGGTTCCTTCGCATGAAGGTCGATTAAGCATTCATTAGTTCTTGTGGTTAGAATTCAACAAGCTATATCTGAGACTAAAGGATTAAAGTGCAAATCCTTTTTACCTGGTAGCATAACTTTTTGCAATGTATGTGTATTAATAATACAATGGCCGCCAACCATAGGCTCATTTTTTAAAGTTTTTCTTTTTGGTGAATGACAATGTGGTTTATGCATTTTCTCTCTGTTCTTTTCCATTAGTAGGATAATGTGCTATTATATTATGACAATTTTTATTTCCTTATCTCGAGCTGCTATGTGCAAGTGAGTCAATATATTCTTTTTCAGAGCTTTCAGGTACATTCATTTTGTTTATTCATCTTTTTCTTGTTTGTCTATTACATGATCAGTATCTTACAATAGGTGCATAATGATAAAGTCATCAATTAAAATGATAACAATTTAACTTTATTTTTCACATAGATGATGTCAAATCGATGATGTAAAATGAAAAAAAAAGCGATATTTCAATAAATCAGAAATAGGTTGAAGTCAGACAACTTATCAACTCAGTTTAAGAATAAAAGATTCATTCATCATTAAGAACTTAGGAAACATTCGTGTGTTGTAATAGTGTATATTTATATTCATACTTCAAAGGCTTGATCACTCAGGTTAATAAAATTTAATGTAGGATTTTTGAAAAATCATATTCTTTGTATGATCTTATATAGTCTTTTCGAAAGTTCATATAAGAATCCTATGCTAAGATTTTCCAGGTAACAAAGAAAATACATGTAAAATTCTTGCAAATCAAACGAAATCTTACACTATATCGTATAATAAAGTTCTTGAAAGATCTTATTAAACGACTTAGAATAAGATTTCAGAGACGATGATTTTTCGTATAATATTTTGTCTGAAATTTACCATTTGATTGTTTGATGAAAGAAAAAATTTGTAAATCTCCTTTTTATATGTATGAATAATTGTTTCACATTATTTTTTCTCGATTAATTGAAAATCAGAAGAACATGTACCTGAATCTTATCAATTTTCAGTAAGTTCATTTAATCTCCCACGAGAAAATTATCCGAAATGCAATCTGTCGTTTGAGCTTATGTTAAACTCAAAAAAAGTCTAAAAGGATTTACTTCTATGAACTTTTGATATATTTAATGAAAAATCAAACCATGAAATTTCGATCTAAAACTTTACCTATTGAACTATCTATAAATAAAATTTTAGGTTGAAGTTCAGTTACTTGATTTTTCAATAAATACTTAAATCAATAAAACGATTATAATTCAGCTTGGAAGATACATGTAGACGAACTCTTTCAGGTTTTTTTTTTCTAGACTTATCAGTAAATTTTAATGATTAATATCATAGATGAATATCAGCATTGAATACTAAGACAGAAATATACGATGTTAAATAATCATGCGGTCTTTGACCTTCTTTTCTCTATTTTATTATTGTACGTGACTTTTCTAAGTATCGCTCGGCTTAGTATTAATCTTGATGATGCATATATCTTATTCTCTTCTCTTCTGATTGATATAAGTATTCTATAGAAACAGGTACAATCGAAATGCTGAAGTATCTGAATAAATGTCAAATAACAACATAACTACTTCACCTGTTTGTTATAACGTGATATATTTACTTTTGTAAAAGAAAATATATTCTTTTTGATGATTATTTAGTAGCGCTAGTTAATTTAATATCAAGTCAGATGCTACATAAGCATCTATAGATTTAGTAACGTATATATTATTCAAAACAATAGTTGAATGACAACATTATACCTCTACTTCTCGATTTTTTTTTTAATATGCGTTTAAGAGCAATCTTGTAATTTTTCAAGCACTATAAATCTTCTTTCATTAAATATCTTCGACATTATGCAGAAAAAAAAAAGCTGTTAGCACATAATCTCTATTAGATTAAAACGTAAAACATGATGGAGATGTTCTTGCTAATCACAAGTGGATTGCTTTATTTTATCTATTTTGGGATACATCTCTTCACCTTCTTTCTTTCTTTTTGTTTTACTGAGTCTCTAACAAATGCAAGAAGGAAGTAGGTCATATATTATAATGAGATGTTATTCATATACGATGTGTGATTGTTTATCAATAACATCTATCACGGTCTGTAGGAGAATAATGATTGTAATCAAATATGCGCTAGGCCAGGACGTTCTACCATCGAAAGAAAGAAAAACGTAATACTTCCTATAATTATCACTATATCACAGATTTCTCTCCAAGATTTACTCTATATACTTCAAGATTTCTTTTAGATCATGTATTGTGTGCACAAAAAACTAATAATATATATTAATACTTTCTTAATTGAATCTTATTAATAATAAATTTACTATCATAATGATTATATTTCACAATTCATATTGTTTGCATTATTGAATATATTAATTAAGAAACATGATTCAAAAGTAATGTCGAAGAATAGAAATGTAAACCTCTCACTAACAGAAATGATAGATATTTTTTGGAGAGTCGTTTTAACATCATTGGTCATAGCAGACATTGTTAATATACGCTAAAACATCATATGAATAACATCTTGTTTTAATAAATGTACTATTTCCTTTATTGTATTTCAAGGGAAAGATGTTGAAGAACTGTATTTCAAAATAGATAGAATAAAACAATCTTCCTATAATTAGAAACCGTAACTATATCGTGTTTCACATTTTTAATCCCATAGGGATTTTGCTAACAACTTTTTATTAAATATGTTGATTGATAATCCAATTTAGATGAGTTTTTAATTGAAATTCAAATGTTATTCTTTTTGTAATTAAATTCATTTATTTAAAATAAAATGCATGGCTATATTATTAAAAACTCACTGAGAAAGTTTTTTTTTTTTTTATTCGAGATTAATCTGACTAGTATAATATGCAGGTTTAATAAAATGAGATTATTGATGCTTGATTATAATTATGTTTCATTCATTTCTATTTTGAATAAATTGTTTGAATATTTGACAAAAAAAGACCAAAGTTAATCATATAAGATGTCACACATACAAGACAAAGATCTTTAAGAATAAAAGCTAGAATATAAGCCAAATAAATTGAACCAATACACGATAATATTGATGAAAATAAAGCTAATTTATTAAATAATGGCGTCATTATTAAACCTACAGAATAATAGTTTTTTACAATCAAAAAAAAAAACGAGCTTTATATTAATTTCTTACCAGAAATAATTTGAAAAATATAAAATCCAATACCTAAATTAACATTTGATGCATTCATAATACTATTTTCACCAAATAATGAACTTGTAAGTCCAAATCCATTACCATATCTATTTAATACAAAAAAATCTGATTCATAGGGGAAAAAAAAATTTAGATATTATTTTCTAACTTGCTCGATAATGCTTTAGTACAACTTGTATTCGGTCCTAAATCACATAGAGCTTTATATTTTGGATTTCTTTTAAGTTGCTGTTTGATATAATATGCATAGAGTGATACAATTAAACCTGCTGTACCTAATAATACTTGTCCGACAATCATTTTATTTTCGATCTAAAGAAAGAAAAATATTTTGTTTTTTCTAAAAAGAAATTCTCGAATGTTTATCATAGTAAAGATAGATGGATTGAAATGTTCACTTCGTTATGAATAACTAGGCAAAATAAAACGAACAAAAACTACGATATAAAGAATAATTTACTTCTGGAAGCTCTAAATAGTTGATTGATTGAATGTCAATGAGATATTTAAGGTCTACGGATCTATGATAACCGGATGCGATTCAATTTCTTTGACAGTAAGTTTTAGGCATAATACGTTTCTTATTAAGGACACTTCCCTCTTTTTTAATCGTTTCTAGTTGACGAAGATGGTCAAACTGATCAAGCTGAAATTTTTACTGCAGATAGAGCGCTAAAAATAAGGAGACACATGTTCGAGGAAATAAATTTTGAAGTGGAATTTTTTTATTTTTCTCAAAAAACTCTCATTTTCCATAGGAGTGCATCATGATAGATTACGGTCTTCAGCAAACTGAATCTTTTTCGCAATACCTAAGACTATATCTTACAGCTTCAGGACCCTATAAATCCGGATAGGAAAGTCAACAACGAAAACGATTGATNGTACATACTGGATCAATACAATCAGGTCTATTCGTAGTTGCAATAATTGTTACACCTTTCAATTTTTCATTACCACTGATGAGTACTCAAAATTGCGAGTACTCATGAGTACTCGCGGCATTTTCTAGCGTAAGTACTTTTTGAGTACTCGCTGGACGAGTACTTTCACTAGGGTATTTAATTAAAGAAAACAATTTAATAATAATTTGTATATTTTTCGATGAAATAGATGCTATTGCTAATTCATGATTAAGTTCATGAAATTCGTAAGTTTTGTATTTACTTAAAAAAACAAAAACAAGATTTTAATATTATTTTTTTATTTATTAAAGTCAATCTAATATTAGTGATCGTGTTATTGCTGTACTTCTTATTGAAATGGATGGTAATGAAAAATTGAAAGGTGTAACAATTATTGCAACTACGAATAGACCTGATTGTATTGATCCAGTATGTACAAATGATTATAATTATTAATATAAGACACAAAAGAGTAATTTACTTCGTTTTCCATAGGCACTAATGCCACCTGGAAACCAATTAATCCTTATATTGAAATAGAACGTTTAGTTGAATTGACAAAAAATTATTCGGGTGCAGAAATTGCTGCTGTTTGTGATGAAGCAGGATTGATTCTTTGTTGTTATTGAAAGTCGTGAACAGAATCTTATACAGTGACGAATTCTACATTTACAGCTGTGAGCGATCGTGCTCTATGTGATAATTGTCTTCTTTTTTGCGTGCATATATACATATTATTGTTCATCAACTATTCTCTCTTCAATAAATATATGAAAGAATAAATTATGCTCTAGCAGAATGAATCGTCACGACGTCCGGACATAGACGTAAATGATTGACGATGTTGCTTCTAGAAATTCTAATAGAAACTTATATATTCCTTTCATTTGAGCACTCAATATAACATTGTACTATTGTTTTTTATTTTCATTTAAAGTACTCTCGCCGTAATTAGGATAACGTTAAATGAAATATAACGATAAAAAGACGCTTCTTTTCTTCATCTATTTCGCAATTATATCTATCCGGGTCTATGATGGTACCTTGACCGTATGTAGAACTATCTGTGATAGAGGAGACATTTCTAATGAATCTACCATTGTGTCGGTTGGCGCCTTGGTGATGTCTGTTTGCTTTTGCATTGAGAGATCCAAACTTCTTTTGCCATATTTGAACACTTCGTTAAAATCTTGTTTCACAAAATCCAAATGATTAGATTCTTAAGATAATAAAAAGAAATATTGCTTTTCTCCAAACAATTTTTTTAACATTACGATATAATAAAAATAAGTTTTGTCATATTGTTGTATGTAGCGACCTCTGTCATAAATCCCTATTGGTAAATTGACTCTCGTTGTTTCGTTCGTATATTGTCAGTTACTCATTCTTTGTTAATTTCTCTTTGTCTTTGATTTTTTTGTGAAAAGTATTAAAAAATGACCGATCGATTGACATCAGGTATATATTCATTAATTTTTCTGCGTATGACACTTTCTTTGTGTTTCATATAGATATGTCATTTTGGCTCAAATTTGTACGTGATGCGAATCTCTCAGTTAATAATAGTATTATATTGAAATATAGCATGACATTAGCTGATCGTTTTTCAACAATAGAAGAACTTTTAGAAAGTGACGATAATGAATTAAATAAGCTGGGCATTACTAATCAAGCTGATCGTATTTGCTTGATGAAACAAGCTCGTCTTTTAGATAATACAGTAAATTATGAATGAAATCTAATTATTCATATTAATGAATTTTCTTTAGACAAATCAACCATTGATATTAAAACGACGATCAGCTAGTAAATGAAAATATATGAATATGAAAAAAAAAAAGAAATTTTCATTTATTATTTTAGTTGCTAATCGTGTTATTGAAAATTGGATTGGTGATAATCAAGCAACACGATTGAATTCAAATGTATTATCGAAATCAACCTGTAATTTATCACCAGCAATGCTTTCTCGAATTTCATTTAATGATCGTTTGTAGAAATATTTAATATATTTTTAATTTATTGAAATATTTCTATCTAGGTCCAGCTTCAGTTGTTTATCCATATGCTGAACCAACAAGTGATATACGAAAACGTAATTTTGGTCATGTTATGGAATCAGAAGAAAAAATTATTACAGTTGATGATAATGGAAAAATTCAAACTAAAATAGCATCATTATCATCACCACTTGATTATCAAGGTGTATTAAAACAAACTTCATCGACATCATTTCATGGAATGCGAACAATAAAATCTCTTTCTGGTTAATTTTTTTTTTAATAAAAATTAATTATTAATTTATTTGAAATTATTAATTATGTTTTTAAAATAGATACAATATCATTACAAAAAAAAGTTCTTGGTACTGATCGTCTTAAACGACTTGATTCTTCAACATCATTATTTCAACGACAAACATCATTTATAAGTAAAAAAGTGACAAATTTAGCTAATAAACTTGTGAATCCATTTGTAATAATTAAAAAGAAAATTGAACCATCATCATCATCATCAACAACAGTTGATAGTCAAATTGATTTACGTACAAATATGAAACGACAAGTTTCTCTTGTAGAAAATAAAAATGATATAACAATAACAGCAAAACGAACGGTAACAATTAGTCCACTTAAACGAACACGAGATGATGATGATGATGAACCAAAAGAACATCGAAAAGTACAAGTACTAAGTACTAATAATGAAATTCGACGATCAACTGGTCTTTTCTCTTATGAAGAAGAAGAAGAAGAAGCAAAACGTCATGGTAAGAAATTAAATATTCACTTAAGAATGATTTGATTTTTCTAAACAAAATATAAAGACTCGAAAAAGCAACTCGACTATCAATACCCTCCTAGCGATGTAAATAATCGAATGGATTAATTCATCGCTGTTCAGTTGTAAACTTCTTTGGTATATGTAATTTCGTTTTTTCTACATGTTTTCTATTAATAAGTCTCTTTCGTATGTTGAAAAACTTTGTTTCTGTTATGGAATTATACATAGTCTAAAGATGAAACGATCGGAATCATTTTTAAGATAACAGAAGTATGGACAAATCTTTAATTAAAAGAATGTGATAGTCGGTTGAAATTACGTGAGAGATTTTTCGACTGAAAAATCAGTTCCCGTATGATATCTCTTATTGAAATAATCATAATATCTGAACTATGTCCTTGATTAAACTTCTCAGATGACGCCATCTAGCAGAGCCGTATAGAAGTTTTTTTCATGATCATTTCAAAATTCGATGGTTTTTCACATCAAAATATTGCAACAAGGCAAGTTTAACACATCTATATATTAGTCCTTTCATAATCATAGCTCAATCAATGGACGAAATTTCTTTTAGCAGTATGCATTGTTGAAATATTCATCAAAACTTTAAAAAAATTCTTATAGTTATTTTCAATTCATGTCTGTACTCTTCCACGGGGATGACAAAGAAGTACAGATGTGGATCAAAATTCGGTTGAGAGTTGTGACTAAATTAACCTTTGAAATACCACTAGGAGTCAGTCTTAACTTGATTCCAACACGGAAAATCGAAATAGTTCTACCTTAGTGCAGTGACGTATCCAGGATTTTTCAGTATGCTGAATCTCGACTTCCAAGTGTGGGACCCAGATGAAACTCATGGAGGCTGATGCTGGGTCCAAATGATGAAATTTTATCAAAAAAAATTTGCACTCGGAGTTTGCGAAAAAAATTAGCATTTTCCTGATCCCCTCTCCTGGGATTTTTTGCTGTTAGTAGCATCTTAATTCTTAGAATTTCATAGGAAGCTATACCGAATTTCATCGACAATTTTCAAATTTCGTCTAAAAATGTAATCGTTCAAGAGTTATAACTTTTTGAATTTTTGCCACATGTGGAAACAATTTTTTCGAAATTTCAAAACATCATAACTCTTGAACGGTTGCACATTTTTAGACGAAATTTAAAATCT